CCCTGTTTCTCGATTTTTCAAACGTTCAGAGTTCCAAATTTTGTCACTTTCGATCTACTTCTCCGTTTCTCTTCTTTCCTTCCGGAGAATCAGCGCGTTTAATACTAAAACTACCGGATGGGTAGAAACCACCCATTCCTGAGTTCTTTTTGCAATTGAAAAGATAACGGTTCCTCTGAGGAATTACATATCGATGTAGCAATGCACAATGTAGAATTAGAAATTAATCGAAGTCTCAATAGATACTCTTGGAATTTCTATAGAAACTTGGAAAAGTTTAACACGTTAAGCGCCATGTCAGTCACTGGTGATTGACACTTCTGAATAACTAGGAAACAATCGTAACATACAAAATAACCGATGTGAAGTGAGAATGTTTAATAACGCAACTGACTTGATCATAGTGTAATGCAAACATTGCGAAAATAATTAATAATTCATCCTTTTCTTTGCTGTAAGAGGGAAACGCTCAAGATTTTCGTGGCGCGTAACGTGTTAACTGCTCGGTAGTTTTAGTGTTCCGTAAGAAACTTCTCGGCGCGTATGTGTTTTCAACGTTATCGAATCGATGTTGCCGAATAGTCAGAGATACAAGAGAATGAACGTGTGAAATGATCTGTGAAAAAGGTTTCGCCGGGACGCCCGGTTACCTCAGTCCGGAAGTCCTCAAGAAAGAGCCGTACGGCAAACCAGTAGATATATGGGCGTGCGGTGTCATCCTCTACATCCTCCTCGTCGGTTATCCGCCATTTTGGGACGAGGACCAGCACCGGTTGTACGCGCAGATCAAGGCTGGATCGTACGACGTAAGCAACCACTAACATTCTCTGATGATTAATCGACAGAATCTCAAATAGATTGTATCAGGACACTCTGAGCCATTCTTTTGTATAAATCGCGATTTGACATCGTATGCGATGTACCATAGCTTTGCTGCTTTTCAAAATATCAAGCTCCGCTAAGGATCTCTTTAAGAGATTTTTTAAGAGATCGATTCGTCTGATTCGCAGTACCCCAGCCCAGAATGGGACACCGTCACGGTGGAAGCGAAGAACCTGATCAATCAGATGCTGACGGTGAACCCCAGCCAAAGGATCACCGCCAGCGAGGCACTGAAGCACCCGTGGATCTGCGTAAGTGATAGAATCTTCGCGATCACTCTAATTAGTCCTACACGTCGCGCCGGAGTAGATTCGCGCGATCTAATCGAGTAGAATCTCGAATCTTCGGTATATCAATGATATGACGGTAACAGTTCAAACGAAAATGATCGAATCTATACCGTTAACACTAGGTTTACGGGGATTTGTTGTACACTTCATTCTATTATTCCTAAAAGAATTGACCGGCGTAAACACTTACAAAATAATATTTCTAAAATCCAGTGTGCGTCAATTTCACGCGTTCCGTAAACCTAGTGTTAAGGATTGACAAGTCGACGCCGGCGTGTATCGTCGAGAAGAAAATCAATTTACTTATCAACGATTTCACTGATTCCGAGCATTTTAAGAATTTCACCGTCGGATGGGCGAAAACGTGAATTAAAGCCCCGCCGGTCGCGCGTTAAATGCCTGGGAAGAGTGCAGAGCCGAAGAAGGTCACATTAGTTTCAATGCAACGCGTCCGTTCTCGCGAAATCCATCGAAATCCCCTCTCGTCTATTAATATAAGGATCACCGTACCCACTGAAACGTTCACAAAGCTGTTCCCCGATGAGCAGCGGCAGCCTCGCTAATAAAACGAAAAAAATCCACGACATTGAACGTGTCTTCTTTGTGTGTTTCAGCAACGTGAGCGCGTCGCCGCGGTGATCCACAGGCAACAAACTGTGGATTGTTTGAAGAAATTCAACGCAAGGCGCAAATTAAAGGTGAGTGCCCGCTACCAGCCGCAGTTTAATTAAGCGTTCCGATCGAGCCGGTGATTAGAGGACGGTCACAGGGCCGCGGGTCTCTCGATTAATGGATTACGCGCGGTGGAAACGCGTCACGGTTCCACGGCCGGCCCGTAACTTCCCGCGAAACTAGTTACAACGCCGGAGTTTCGATTCTCGAGACGTCGGAGCATTAAGGCGCGACGGCCCGTTAAATCATCTACAACGGGCTCGCAACCCGACGACGCGGCTTTCCGTCTCGCGGATTCTTGTCGATCGAGCGCGCGGTATTTCTGTTCCCGGTGATTTCGATTATTCAACGTTCTGCGTTTAAACTTCTGCGAATCACTGGAACTAACGCTGTTTTTATAGTATTCCTAGCGAAAATGAGAAATGCTGTAACATTCCTTCGATCTATGTTCCTTCTCAATGCAGAATTTGGGTGTGTGGAAAATCTAATAACTACCGTGTTATGCAAATTACTGTGTTTTAATATTAAATACTGAAAGTGGAATATTCTTTAACTTATTTTATCATAGCGTGCAACAAGTACGCGGTATAAAGAATAATTCGTTGAAATTTTCCTTCCGAACACGATACCGCGTCCCCTTTGTCCGGCCGCCATTTTGTCGCTCGATCGACGTCCCCGCGGCACCGGAAATTCCATTTAACTCTTCTGCCTGTAATCGAGTCAGCGGCGGGAACGTTTCGCGCGCTGTAAACGGCTCGAGTTCCTCGAGTTTGTAAATTCCGCGGGGGAAACGTTAAATTGATTTCGTTTATTCGGGAATTAGTCGTTCAATTTAGCCCACCGGCGCCGCTCCTCGGACGCCGCGCGGATTATAATTGCGCGAGTTCCGATGGGTGTCGCGAATTCTTCGAAGAATCATGCAATCTCCTTTTGTCAATTCCGTCCTCGTATTTTCGCCTTTAATCGGATTACGCGGCGCGGCATCCGTCGGCGAAACGCGAAACGAGTCGCAGGACTTTGTAACAGAATTAACTACCGGGAACTTTGGCTCCACATTCTTTGTTTCGTATTAACAAGAATCTTCGCCTTTGGATCTCGATGAAATCTATCACAATCTCCACCAATTCGAAAATGCAACGCGTTCAACCCTTAGCAGTCCATAAATTCTATTTTATCGTAACCTCTACCTTTAAGAATTTTGTCTATATTCATTTGTAGTATCACAATTGTATTTAACGGTATTTCAATGACTCCCAAATATTCTTGAGTAAATAGAGCGCATACACGCACGCTACACCCATACACATGCACGCACATCCATGAAGTTTACATCAATATCAACCTACGCGTCTACTTTCAAATTTTCACCAAGAGTCCGATACAGCATCGGACGAGTCGAAGCGACTCGAAATGAAAATGGCGACCCAAGGAACACCGGGATTCCCCTGGTATCGCGAGTCTCGGCTTTCTCCTCGTCGGACTCGCGACCGGAGGTGGGAAAGTCGTGTCTTTGATTGGGAATTCGTAGATTCCCGGCTCTCTTTCTCTTTCCCTCTGCTCCCTACTCCTCGCCCCGGCCTCTGCGACGCCTGTTGCGATTGTATGTACAAGCAGAGCCGGCTGAATTGCCGACGGAATCGCGCGACACTCAATCGAGTGTACACCGACGAAACGGTGAATCGCGGACGGGCTCGTGTGCGGCGCTCGTCGGTGTGTAGTTACGTACGTGTGACGGCAATTGCGTCTCGCGTTCGCTGAAAAACTGCCGCGACGATCTCGGAGATCACGACGATTTTTCTTCGGTCCCCGTGATACGGAGATCCCCTCCCCCGTACCCTCGAGCGTGATACGATAGTTCTGGTACTTGGTAAATAATTGATACGGTTTATTCTGCGAGGGAGAGTCTCGGGATAGGGGTCGAAAGGATACACGCTTTCGTAGTTGATTAGAGTGTCTGGTTTTCTTGAAACTTGGGAAGTTAATAATGTATTATACAGTATAATAATATATATAGTTTCGAAGAATTGTAGAATATTGCGAATAGATTGAGATTTGTAGAAAGGATACATTTTTAGATCTTATTGACATACTGATTTGTACGAAGGAAATTAACGAAGTTTCGTTTCTCGCAGCGCTAGTTTCATTTTTATCTATATTTGTATTATATGTATATAATAATAAATATAGTGTAGTTTCGAAGAATTGTAGAATACTGCAAATAGATGGAGGATATTCGTAGAAAGGATACATTTTTAGATCTTATTGACACACTGACTTGTACAAAGGAATTTAACGAAGTTTCGTTTCTCGCAGCGCTAGTTTCATTTCTATCGCATATATATGCATATACGCGAGCTAGTTTGGAATGATATCAATGAAATTTGCAATAGGATCTAGAGAGGTGATGAAAGAACAGTGTAAAGAAAGTCCAGCGTGCATTAAACGCGTTCATTAATGATGCACGCGCGATCGATAGCATTCTACACCTGAATCAACGGTTCCGCGATGTTCGATGTATGTAGAGCGGGCCTCGGGGATTTTTTGCCGGCGAGTTTCAAGTGGTTTAAAGCATCGGTACACGGCTGCGATACGATTCATTGCCTTTTAAACGAACAACGAGCACGGTCTATTCGTTCGCCGTGTGTCGTTGAACTTTAATCGCGAAGTTAAGGATCGCCGTTTCGGTGCATGCTGAACCGCGCTTAATTTCTCGGAGGAAATTCACCGGGAGAACGTCGACTCGAAAGCCGATGCAGTCGAATGTGGCAAAGAATCGAATAAATTAATATTTCGACTTCTGGAATTATTATGCGACATACTCAGAAGCTATAAAGAAGAGATTTCGATCTAGAACAGTTAAAGACACGGATAAATCCTTGAATAACCAAATAGAGTATCATTTACTTCATTAAAATCCACACAAATTTGGAAATTTCAAGAAATATTTTGAAAAACTGAAGCATCAATTGGGATAAATGACATTCAAATCAAAATTACACGAGACTTCCAAATTGTCACGTATCGAAGCGTCGACTAACACTAAAACCACCGAGTTCATTGACTTTTCAAAATTTCGCTATAGAAACTCCAAGAGCAATAATTCCTCAGAGTAACACCCGTTATCTTTTTAATACTTACAAAAAGAACAGACTTTAATCGACTTACAATTCAATCTGCTAAATGAATTTCCTTAATAATTCCCCAGAGAAACATCTGTCACCTTACTATTAATTGCAAAAGACATCAGGCATGTCATTCGACTCTGGTAGCTCGTGTTAAGTCGCTATCGAGTGCAAAGGGTTAAGCAACCGAAATCATCGGACAGTCCTTCGCGACGAGGACGGCGGCGATTTAGGGGATGAAAATGGCCGGTCGATAAACGGGATCCGGCCGGCTGATAAGGCGACAATACCGTACGCGGCCGCGCGGACTATCGAGTCGTACGTCTCGCGGTTGGCAGTGATTAAGTAAGCCTGCGGCGGCAGGGCGTATCGGTTTCAACGGCGGTCGCATAAATAACGAACGCGACTCCCCCCTGTTCGCCGGGTAAACATTACTTTTTCGTTTCGATCTCGGCCGCGCGACGTTGCGGGGGGAGTTCGGCGAGCTTCCAATCACGCGATCGTTCCATTAGAAACGAATGTGATTAGCGCTCGCGGGGCTAATAGCAGTTCCTTGAGCGCGAGGGGGATT